AAATAACTTTCAAACCTCCAGCCAAACTGTCAGTTCCTCTGAAATTCACACTTGGTGCAGAGTGGAGCCCTGAGATTTGAGCTGCATTTTATTTTACTTTTCTTATAGCCCTCAGAGGCCAGAGAGATCCAGTGTGTCAGAAGCGTCCAGGCATCAAAGAGAAATAGTTCAGTGTCTTTTCATCCGGTAATGAGAAACAAAGCCAGGAAACAGGAGGTTTTTCCCGAATCTTCTCTCCTTGTCTCTGTATTTGGAAAGATGCCTGATTTTCTACTTGGCTTTCTAGGCCTTTCTCTCTACATCGGTGTTGCTGGGCATCAGTGGCTCACGCCTGTCATCCTAGCTACTCGGGAGGCTGAGATCGGAGGATCGCAGTTCAAAGCCAGCCTGGGGAAAGAAAGTCCATGAGACTCTGATCTCCAGTGAACCACCAGAAAACAGGAAGTGGCGCTGTGGCTCAAGTGGTAGAGCGCTAGCCTTGAGCTGAAGAGCTGAGGGACAGCGCCCAGGCCCTGAGTTCAAGACCCAGGACCAGAAAAAAAGAAAGTGTGTGTGTGTGTTGTATACATAGATACACAGAAACACAGGTACCTAGTACATAGATATGGATTCTATATACTGTATATTCTATATACTGGCATCAGAAAAGTTCTACACACGTATGTCTACCTATGTGTATTTAATTTTGCCAGTCCTGGGGCTCGAACCCAGGGCCTAGGCCCTGTCCCTGAGCTTTATATTTGCTCAGTGCCGGTGGGTGCTCTACCACTTGAGCCACAGCTCCACGTTTGACTTCTGTTTTGCTTTTGCTCGTTCATCGGAGATCAGAGTCTCACGGACTTTGACCTTCCCCCCGGGGCTGGCTTCGAACCGCGATCCTCAGGTCTTCAGCCTCTAGAGTAGCTGGGATGGCAGGCGGGAGCCCCCTGGGCCCGGGCTAGGTTTCTGTGTCTGCGCCATCTTTCCTCTCCAGTGCTTGGCTCACGAGGAAATGCTGGTTCCACCCGTGCATGTGGCCCCCCAGAGGCTCCTGGCCTGGCCCCGGGTCGGTGGTGGGGTGGGGTGGGGAGGGAGCAGCCCGCAGGGCCGGGGGTTCGGATCCCGGCTGGGCGGGTTGGGCGGAGGAGGTCGGTGCAGTGTCCGGGCGCCGTCAGCAGAGGGCGCGCGCGCGCGGAGCGCATGGCTGGGGGGGGG